ACGGGAAATATGGTGATTTTGTGATGCTTATAACTGGGAAACTTGGCACCACCAAGCCAACCTTCCACTAATATAATACATCGACACTGAAGATATAAGCAGATTAAATAAGGTGTTATGAGGTTATTACACGGAAATACTGAAACAATTTTTAACTTGGGTCTGTCTTACAGGATGTTTTGTTAGCTACGAGATCTGAAGATGGTATTCCCTTGTATCCCACAAGCTATGTCCATGCAGTTCAACCTACGCTAGAGAAAAAAGACAGGCAAGGTTGAATCGGTTTTCATGTGGCAGTAGGATAGAAAAAATAGCGAGAGGAATTCTAGCACTAAAATAAAAAAAAAAAAAAAAAAGGCACAATACCGTGACTGGAACGATACACAAATAACCCGCACATAAATGAGAGAAGCTTACGACGACGTTTCGGTCCGGCTTGGACCATTGACAAAGTCACACTAACCAGAAGTGGAGCAGGACGGCTATATATAGGCAGGAAGAGGTGGTGGTAGTGGTAGTAATAGTAGTACAAGAATGGTATATAATACCGACAAGATGAAATTAAGACAATGCGCAACACCCGGGCATCCCTATCGTAGACGTTTCGCCTCCAGCACAGCCACGGATGGCGAAACGTCCACAACAAAGAAACCCAGACGCTAGCACTACCTCTAATCCCAGCAGAGATAGAAATACGGAAGCCCAACTTTCTTACAGACCTAAAAGCTATGACCTAACTCTCTCAAGAGGTCCAGGAGCTGGAGATCAGTACTATAATGAGGTACAGGACTGTGAGCTCAACAGCTCGTGCTGACCATCCAAAGAGGATCTGAGGTGAAATTCACTACCACCATGGACGAATGTCAAACTGTAAATCCTCAACCTTCTCTTAAAATTTCATTTCTTTGTCTGAGGGCTTCTCTGTAGACGTTATTGAAACCTTTATCTCCTGTTAATAATGAAAAAGTTTAAACAAGCTGATAATTTCCTCTACTTAAGGTACAGAAATTGTGAAAGTTTGGAGTCAATTAGAAGAGTTATTCTCAAATAATTGTACGGAAAGCAATATTCAAATTTGTAGATGAATGGTTCAGAGAACCGACATGTTGATAAATTAGACTCATGTGCAACTCTGGGGTTATCTTTATTGAGGAAAACGTTTCACAACACAGTGGCTTCATCAGTCCATACAAAGGAGAAACTTGAAGAACAGGAGGAGAATGAGGTAATCAGTCCCTCAACCTTGAGTCGATGTGGTCAGTCCATCTTCAAGATTCTCCTTTGTATGGACTGATGAAGCCACTGTGTGGCGAAACGTTTCCTCAATAAAGATACCCAAGAGTTGCTCATGTGTCTAATTTATCAATATTCAAATCTGTTTGACAAAATATGCAAAATGAGAATCACAAGATAATCGTAAAGAAAATAAAATATAACTGAGAAAGTAAAACTGTAAAGTATTGATAACTTAAACTTTTAAGAAATTTTTAAATTTCACATTTTTAATGCAGCCTTAATTATTATATTGATTGAACATTAAAATGGTATAAAATACCGACAGGTTGTTAGGTAAGACACATATGCAACAGTTAGGTATCTTTATTATGAAACGTTTCGCCTACACAGTAGGCTTCTTCAGTCAAGTACAGAAAAGTTGATAGAAGCAGAAGAGACTTGAAGACGATGTAATCAGTCCATCACCCTTAAAGTTTTGAGGTGGTCAGTCCCTCAGTCTGGACAAGAGCATTGTTCCATAGTATGAACAATATGGAGATGATGCAAAAAAAACCAAAACCTAAAAAAAACCAAAAAAAAAAAAAAAAATGACAGAATGGAGCTTTTTTATAGCGCCAAGAGGTGTAGACGTAGGCCATAGGAGAGGTAAGAACTCAGTGGGACCTGACCTCTTCAACATCTGAGTTTTACCTCTCCTAGTGGCCTACGTCTCACTCTTGCGCTATAAAAGCTCCATTCAATGTCACTTATCTCCATATTGTTTCATACTAAGGAAACAATGCTATTCTCCAGACTGAGGGACTGACCACCTCACAACTTTAAGGGTGATGGACTGATTACTCGTCTTCAAGTATCTTCTGCTTCTATCAACTTTTCTGGTACCTTGAAATGAAAGAAGCCTACTGTGTCGGCGAAACGTTTCATAATAAAGATACATAACTGTTGCATATGTGTCTTACCTATTATATTGATGTAGAGCCGCCATTTTCTCAGGTGAACGTCAATGCGCAACAAAAACCACCAACGTATTTCCTTGTATTCTCTTTATCCTTTTGTCAGAATTTAACGGCTTTTTAATGCTTGACCAAAAAAAATAATTATTCATATGTTAAGTTTAGGTATGTTCTGTTAGTTTCTTTCTCTGGAAGATTTATGAGAGATAACTCTAAAATGATTCTTGGATATGTTATTGTGATAAGTTGCTGCCGAGGAAGGAAAATGGACAGTGACTGCTATACTTCTCGTCTTTTAAAACTTTTAACACTGTCCATCTACTAAACAGTGAACTCGAATTCTTAATGGCGTTTTCTGATAGAATTCGACAGTTTTATTTTAGTGTAAAGGTTAAAGGACACAAAGTGCAACTAATTTGACATTTATTGTGGGTCAACGTTCGCTCTCCAGGAGCTATATCAAGCATTACGTAATGGATTGATTAAAGCTCCTGGAGATCGAAACGTTGTGCCACTAATAAATGTCATATTAGTTGCTCTTGTGTCCTTTTTACTTTATATATTGTCGGTAAGTATTACCAACTTTATTACAGTGTTATTAAATAATGGTTGGCTATAAGCTTGCGAGGACATAATGTGAGAATGAAGCTTCTGTGCGTCTCAACTTGAAACTCTGCACAAGTTTACAGGGGAAACATTTTAATACTGTTATACGGGCTGAATAAAACTCCTCTTTCATAATTCATTTAAATCATTTTAATATTTAATTTTGCCAGAAAATTCAAGATTACTTCATCTGACTGGTTTCAAATTTGGAAAAATTATGTTTTACATACTGACAGATGTACATTAGTGTTGAGCTGATGTAGCACTAATTTCTCTTCTTATTTTATGGAGTGAATATTAGTTTCCCTGCGATAACTTTCTAATTCTAGTACAAGAATGGTTCAGAGAACCGACATGTTGTTAAATTAGACACATGTTTAACTCTTGCCGTATTACTACTCAAGATTGATGGATCTGACCACATCGGTCTCAAGGTTGAGGGGGACTGATTACTCATTCTCCTCATTGTTCTTCAAGTTTCTTGTATGGGACTTTGGAAGCCAACTGTGTGGCGCACGTTTTCCTCAATAAAGATACCCCAACTGAGTTGCACATGTTGTCTTTCTAATTCCTCCTCATGCTCGGCTAAAGTTATTTTTTCAATACCAATGTTTATTTTGCATTAGTAAATTTTAGTTGCAGAAATTTTCAGATTACCAGAGACAATGATACAATTTGTTTTAATAACAAAACTTGTCTTGTTTGTATCATTCAATCGAGACAGCCCGAGGGTAAACAATAATACTTTGAACGATGGCACATTCACACTAATGTAGATCAGTGAGAAGAAAGGTTCCTCTTTAAGATGTTTCGTTAATGATGATGGGTTGAATGGCGATTGGCTGAGGCATTCACAGGTTATCTATCAAAAGGCAATTAAGCGAATAAACACCCGAGGCTTCCCTGAATATATTCACCTCTAGTGATAAATATTATACACCTGTGATAAATAGTATACACCTGTGCACGCACATAAATATTATACAACCTTGATAAAATATTTATACACCTGTGATAAATATTATCCACAGTAATAAATATTTCCACCAGTAATGTAAATAATATCAATAAGTAATAAATATTATTTACCAGTAATAAAGATTATACACCTGTAATAAATATTATACCTTAACTAACTACCCTCCCCCCCCCTACTCAACATTGCAATATATGAACTACTTACCTCCACCCAGCTAAATAAACCCCTCTCCCTTATCACACCGTATTAATAATTACTACCATCTGTAATAAATTTCTATACCAGTAATAAATATACTACACTTGTAATAAATATTATCCACCAGTAATAAATATTATATACCAGTAATAAATATTATCCACCAGTAATAATTATTATACTCCTGTAATAATTTATTATACACCTGTAATAAATATTATATACCAGTAATAATATTATACACCAGTATAATAAATATTATACACCAGTAATTAAGATTATATACCAGTAATAAATATTATTCATTGTATACATATTATAACCTGTAATATAATATTATCCCAGAATAAATAATATCCACCAGTAATAAAATTTTATCACCAGTTAATAATATTATCCACAAGTAATAAATATTATTTTTTTTTTTTTTTTTTTTAAACCTGTAATTAATTTATACACTGTAATTAATTATTATTCCACCAGTAATAACTATTATCCACCAGTAATAAATATTTATACATATGTAATAAATATTATACACCTGTAATTAATATTATACACCAGTAATAAAATATTATACACATGTAATAAATTTATACTCTGTAATAAATTTTATACACCTGTATTAATATTTATTATCCACAGTAATATAATTATTATACACCTGTATAAATAGTATAACACTGTAATAAATATTATACATCTGTAATAAATATTATACATCTGTAATAAATATTATACACCTGTAATAAATATTATACATCTGTAATAAATATTATACATCTGTAATAAATATTATACACTGTAAGAAATATTATCCACACAGTAAATAAAATATTATTAACCTTAATTAAATATTATACACCAGTGATATTATACAACAATAATTAACATTATACACTTGTTATAAATCGTTATTGCACAGAAATAAATATTACAATTTATTTTATTGCAAGTCAAATTAAAATTTACACAGCCCAAAAAATGCAAAATTCCCATTGAGAAACCTGTCATCAACATTTTTTACTTCAATAAAACGTCTCCCACCGAGGCTGGTTGACCGATAACGTCTCCACCGAGGCTGGTGGACGATTTACGTCTCCCACCGAGGATGGCGACCCTTTAACGTCTCCCACCGAGGCTGGTGACCCATAAACGTCTCCCACCGAGGCTGGTGACCCATAAACGTCTCCCACCGAGGCTGGTGACCCATAAACGTCTCCCACCGAGGCTGGTGACCGATAAACGTCTCCCACCGAGGCTGGTGACCCATAAACGTCTCCCACCGAGGCTGGTGACCCATAAACGTCTCCCACCGAGGCTGGTGACCCCATAAACGTTCTCCCACGAGTGTGGCGACCCTATAAACGTACTCCCACCGAGGCTGGTGCCCGATATCAAACGTTCCCACCGTGGCTGGTAGACACATTTAACGTCTCCACCGAGGTGGTGACCCGGAATTATAAACGTCTCCCACGAGGCTGGTGAACCGATAAGTCTTCCCACCGAGGATGGTGACCCGATCAACGTCTCCCACAGAGGCTGGTGACCTGATAAACTTCTCCCACCGAGGCTGGTGACCCGATCAATGTCTCCCACCAAAGCTGGCGGACCCGATTATTAAACGTCTCCCACCGAGGCTGGTGACCAGATAACGTCTTCCCACGGAGGTTGGCGACAGGAATAAACGCTCCCACGAGGCTTGGTGACCCGGTTAAGTATCCCACCGAGGCTGTGTGACCGATCAAGCGTCTCCCCACGAGGCTGGCGACCCGTTTTTTTATAAAACTTCCCACCGAGGCTGGTGACCCGAATCAATGTCTACCACCGACGGCTGGTGACCACGATATAATAAACGTCTCCCACCGAGGATGGTGACCCGATTCAACGTCTCCCACGAGGCTTGGTGGACCCGATAAATAAATAACTGTCTCCACCGAGGCTGGTGACCCGTTATAAGCGTCTCCCACCGAGGATGGCGACCCTATAAACGTCTCCCCCACCGAGGCTGGCGACCCGGAAATTAAACGTTCCCATCCGAGGATGGCGACCGAAAACGTCTCCCACCGAGGACTGGTGACCCGATCAACGGTCTCCCGAGGATGGCGAAATAAACGTCTCCCACCGAGGCTGGCGACCCGTTAAACGTCTCACCCCGAGGTGGTGGACCCGAATAAACGTCTCCCACGAGGGGTGACCCGATAAACGTTCCCACAGAGGCTGGGGACCCGTAAAACAAGAAACCAGAGGTTTTTCGTTTTGCATTTAATAAATAAGTATGCTAGTGACAGTCGCCTCTTTCCGAGAACATAAAACTGTTTAAATATATTTTCTAAATTATATGAACAAATTTCAACTTTTAATTTACACTCAGTTCACACCCAACTAAGTCAATTTTTTTTTATTTTTTCTCTTTCAAGCTTAAAATGTTCTAGAAAGAATCTTTCTTATGTTTTCTCAAGGGGAAAATAAGTGCAATTTTAAAAAATATATTGAAATTCTGGACCTTTTCTCTATGTAGGTAACAATGGAGACGAAATGTTTGCTACAGTCAGTACATGGAGTCCACAAAAAATAGCGAATTGGGAAGTCGATCGGATGAGACATTCTCAAATTTAATCCAAACCACCAAATATATATTTTCCAGTCATGGCCGAGCAAAATATAATTCGTGGACGGTTTCCACACGTGCTGCATGCAGGGATGTTTGCTTTAAAAGTGGAACATCTGACACCCTTACAGGTGTTGGCCCAAATTATGGTATCGATATGAAAGAAAACAACTGGATATTAAGTATGCCTAAAGAGGTTGGAAATATATTACACATCAGTTACCAGGGAACATTGGAAGTATTGTTTAACTTTTACTACGGAATGCACTAGAATTATATTTAAGATTTATTTACTAGTGTCTCGGGCATCTTATTTATTCACATTAAAAATTTTTCTGAATGTAATACAACTCCCCGCTGCAAACACACTTACTATGCAGTTAAGTAAATGATTTATTTGGCTAATATTACATAGACACGAAGCAGCTGCTTTTGTTTAAATTAAAAAAATTCTTATTCATTGATGCCTAAGGCAATGAGGCTTTGAATTAGTCCGTAAACTGCTGTTTGTGAATTTCAGACATTTCGAAATTCATATTGGTCTTGAGGCAGTATGTTGTAGCCTTGTAATTAACAAGTTTGTTGCAGAGTAAATAATATTTAGTCGACTACCAGATTTGTTAATTAAAAACTACAGAGCTCCGGCTACAAAACCCGCGAGTAGGAGGCTACATCAAAGACTACATGACCAGATAGTAGAAGGCTACGTTGAAGATTAAATGACAAGATAGTAGAAGACTTTCGTTTTTTTCTTAGAGAGAAAACTTATTTGAGATTAGAGTGAGAGGGAAAGAGAGTAGAGAGAGAGAGAGAGAGAGGAGAGAGATGAGAGAGAGAGAGAAAGACGAGATTGGAGAGAGATTTTGAGAGAGAGAGACTCCAAATCTTGAAATTTGAAATTTGAAAATTTGTACTCCAAACTAACCATGAAGAACCATGTTGTAAATCATGCAAACAGGCACGCCAGGAAGCTTACAGCACTTCGCCGTATCTCCCATCTGCTTGACAGTAGGGGTTGGTTTGCAAGATCCCACCCACCATGTACTGGCACAAGTACGCTCTCACCTTGAGTATGCTTCCACTTTCTTGGTTGGCCTGCCCCCCCCTCTCATCTGCGACTGATTGACAGAGTTAGAGAACAGAGCAACACGTCTCATCTCCGCTGACCCATCCTGGATAGATCTAGTCATTTTTCAGCTGAGCCTTCCAACCATAGGAGGGATGTGGGTGGCCTTACTGTTATGTAAAAGGCCAATATGTCAATATACCACACTTGGATCCACTTCGAGGACAGCGTGAAACTCAAGCTTTTATGCCAACATGACGGCAGAAAGCAGCAATTCACTCTGGCTGTACCATTCTCCAGAACATCACTCCATCTGAGATCATACATACAGATGACTCGAGTTATGGAACACATTCGTACAGCATAATGATGTCAACAGATAAAAGTTCAGTTGATCAAATGAAAATGCTGGCCACAGATAGATGGCTCCAACTTCATCCTGTTCCCTACTTGTTGTCTCATAAACAATAAAAATGCTTTCAAAATGAGCTGATGTAGGTAAAAGCTCTTAGCTTGCCAATAAAGTTAGGAATCCTTAACCTGTAATATAGCTGTCAATAAGCTAGGGATCCTTAACCTTGTCAAAACCCTGATGTAAAAAAAAAAAAAAAAAAAAAAAAAAAAAAAAAAAAAAAGAGAGAGGAGAGAGAGAGAGTGAGTTACTCTGCTGCTGTTCTGTTGTTAACCTCTCCACTAAGTAGGCACCCCCGTTCACTGATGAATCCAAAGTCCAGCTGTGTTGGTAACACTGGACATTGCTGGCTGGCTTTCGACCGGGTAGTGGCACCCAGGGCCTCTTAGCAAAACTTCAAGCACTGCGGGAATTGCAGGCTCTACGCTATGTCTCCTCAGTGATTACCCTACATGGTAGATCTCTAAGTGTAGTTCTCATGGTACGGTCTCTGCATAGGACATCTATGGGGGCAAGTGTTCCACAAGGAAGCGTGCTGGTCCATTGTTATGGTATGTCTATTCAACGGACCTCTTCATTCATCCCAGAATCAAATGCATATGCAGACGACTGTACCACTGAAAAAACCATTCACTATCCAGAGAGAAATGTCAGCTGCTCTAAGGCCACATCATCCACCAGCTAAGAGCTATATCAGCTTGTGAAGTTTTGTTTGAATTTGGTGGGTTTTGGTTTGTTTCGAGATGAAATTTTTTTGTTTTTTGTGTTTGATTTTGATTTAAATGTCTTCATTTTGAAATTTTTTTTTTGAATTCTGTTCGAAATTTTTTGTGTTTTGTGTTGATTTGTGATGATTTTTTGAATGAATGGTTGAATTTTTTTGGGAAATAGATGGGGGATAGTGACATTTCGCACCTGAGAAAACGCAAATGATGATCGGTCTCTAGGCACCATGATGGTAATGCTGGTGCAGTTAGTAAGGATGAATAAAATAAAACGGGAGGGTGTTGGTACAATGTGAGAAGAAGTTTGATATCCTTGGATGAAATTTGTCTCCAGAACCTAACCATTGAACAGAAACCATGTTGTAAATATTGCAAACAAGGAGACGGATGCTCTACAGCACTTCGCCGTATTTCAATCTGCTTGACAGTAGGCTTGCAAGAATTCTGTACTAGCACAAGTACGCTCACACCTTGAGTATGCTCCACTTTCTTGGTTTGCCTGCCACCCCTCACATCTGCAGCTGCTTGACAGAGTAGAGAACAGAGCAATGAAGTCTCATCTCTCCCTGGACCATCCTGGATAGATCTGTCATTTCAGCAGAGCCTTCAACACGGAGGGATGTAGAGTGGCCTTATGCTTATGTACAAGGCCAATATTGTCAAAGTGCCACCTGGATCCACTTCGAGAACAGGTGAAACAAAGCTTTTATGCCACAAGACGGGCAGAACAGAAAGCAGCAACTTCACCTCTCGGCTGTACTTTTTTTTCTCAGAACATCAACTCCATTCTGAGATCAATTTATACCCAGGATGACTCGAGTAGGGACACTTTCGTACAGCATAATGATGTCAACGAGATAAGTCAGTTGATATATGAAAAATGATGGCCAACAGATGGTGGGGGGGGGGGGGTGGGTGAGTGGTGGGGGGGGGACTCAAACTTCATCCTGGTTCCCTACTTGTATATCTCATAACAATATAAAATGCTTTCAAATGAAGCTGATGTAAGGTTACCCAGTCTCTTAGCTTGTCAATAATGTTAGGATCATTAACCTGTAAATAGCTTGTCAATAAAGCTAGGGATCCATAACTTGTCAAACCTTGTGTTAAAAAATAACCAAGAGAGAGAAAGAATGAGAGAGAGAGGAGAAGAGAGAGAGAAGATGAGAGAGAGAGAGAGAGAGAGGAGATGAGGATGAGAGAGAGAGAAGTGAGAGAGAGAGAGAGATGAGAGAGAGAGAGAGAGAGAGAGAGACGAGAGAGAGAGAGAGTTGTGTACATGGGAGAGAGAGATACTAAAATGATAAATCGCGAGGAATTTAACGTAGCGTTATTAATGGATTAAAGATCTGAGGTACTTGTTAATCTTCTAGGTTAGCATTGTTTCTCTCATTGTGATTTACAGAACTGTGAGTGCTAGCAGTTGTTCCATTTACCTCCAGAACTACTATCACGTCCCTCTACACCCACTCTTCTTATTATAAGAACATAACATAAGAAAGAAGGAACACTGCAGCAGGCCTACTGACCCACGCGAAGCATGGGTCAGATTTTGTTTATTATTCATCCACTATACAAGCATCAGGAATCCTTTAACCTCGTATTTTTGTATGTATATGATGCTCTTTGGGAGGTTTTAGTGTCGGTATCGGTAAAGGTTTAATTAAAGACTGAGTGAAGTTGCAAGCGTTGAAGGGAACACCTTACCCGCCGTTCCTTTGCTATTCGGTATTCTGAAACAGAAGTTGGTGGAGCTGCCAGTTTCAAGAAACCCAGAAGATCAACAATAGCTTCGTCTCAGTAGGGTCGAATACCCTGTAAGTATTGGGCAAGTGTGCTCTTAGATTCCTGAATGGGTTGGGTGACAAACTCATCATGGAAACCAAGGACTCCAGAGTGACCAGTTTTCATTTTCAGAGACTCAGTATTATGATCCAGGACGGAATGCCTGCAGCATTCTGGTCACACGATCTTCCACCGGGGAGCTGAATGAAGTATTTGAGATGCTGGCTCTGATATGTCATGCATCATGCACGCTTATTTAATGTATCTTGCTTTTAAATAAAGTTCAGAAATATAGCATACAGATTATAGAGAGGGGCAGAGGACATACTCAACTGCCTTCCAGGTAAGGAACTTCCTCGAGTTTTTACTGAAATATGTTGATATGTTGATAATGTGTGAGTGTGGTGAAAGTGTTGAATGATGATGAAAGTATTTTCTTTTTGGGGATTTTCTTTATTTTTTGGGGTCACCTGCCTCGGTGGGAGAACGACCAACTTGTTAAAAAAAAAAAATGATATATATATTATATTTTTATATATATATATATAAATTATATAATTATATATTTATATATTTATATATATTATATAATTATATGCACACACACACACACACCACTAACACTGATCTCTGGCCGAAGGAGAGACTCGAACCTACGAACCTTGGAACAAGTTTACGCCAGTGCTATACCATTCTCATCAAACATGGACCAATACCTTGGGCGTCCAGGCTTGCGCTACACGTAGATCCAAGGCAGCCAGCTCTCAGGGAGAAGGCTGCAGCTTTTCATCTCATCCTCTGCTGCATCAGCCTTACTAGAGATTTTAACAAATGCAGGGAATTCACAGGACAGGCCGTAATATTCATAAAACACTGTTCTCCTGGCCGAAGGCAGGATCTCGACCTATGAACCATGGAACAAGGTACGCAGTGCTTTACTTCCGTACCACACTGGACCAATACCAATACCAGTGTGGTAAGGATGGTAAAGTACTGCGTACCTAGTTCCAAGGTTCGTAGGTTCGAGTCTCCATCGGCCAGACATCAGTGTTTGTTTCTATGATGAGTTTTTTGTTTTACCCAGCTCTTTAACTCTTCGTATTTTAATTCGTTGATGGAAATGTATTTCCCTTTTTTCAATATATCTCAGCCTCTTGCCTAACTCACCCGTGAAAGTGCCGTCCTGCCTAATACATAAATATCATAGGTACTCACCCACTTCATATAGTTGATGAGGGAGTTACCATGCACCCAGGTGATGTCTCCGTCACACTCCAGCGGTGTAACGCCAATGTGACGCGAGCGATCCAGGTCGTCCAGAGCTTTAGCGAATAACTGCACTGCATCGTACATGAGCGCCACCTCTGTCTGTTGAAGAATCTACTGTTATGTTTCAAATAACTATCACGGTGCTGTAACGTAATGCATCCCTGATTTCGTCTTTGTGTCACACTGTCCTTGATAAAGAACAAATGATTCACACACTTGGTTCGTACTGTAACAAGTGTGTCACACCTGACTCCTTTATTATCACTCATATAATACGGCCTCATTGTCATGTCTGGGTCTCCACAAAACTCATTACTGAAGGGTATTCCGGAGATCAACGTAGTATCACAGATACCGTAGTGTAGGTCCAATGTTTCATATTCTTCTTCTGTGGTACCAATGACTCACACTTCGAGTATTTGCGTCCCCCAGTGTAGGACTCGAGACTCACTGTCTGCTGTACTTCCTTATAATGATGGACATAGAGTCTCACTTTGCCACATTGCTCCTAGTATTGGATCCCGAGCTTTGGCTCTGTGTCACTCCCCACTGATACCTCTAGCTGTGAGTCAAGCTTTTCCCAGTGTAGGCCCCACTGAAATTTATTCTCGCATTAAAAAAAATTTAACAGTTGAATAGAGTCTTCCTTCATATGCACTGACTCTTGTATCACTGCACACAACCATAAGAACATAAGAAAGAAGGAACACTGCAACAGGCCTACTGACTCATGCGGAGCAGGTCCATGTCCATCCCCCCGGATTAGCCTAATAACCCACCCTCCCGGATTAGCCCAATGTCACACTCTTTCTGGTTTCCTCCACTCAAGGAAGGAGCACGGCACTAGGCCCAGTAGCACAAGTTAGTCAGGTCCAACTCACACCCACTCACACCCACTCATGTATTTATCTAACCTATTTTTAAAACTACACAACGTTTTAGCCTCAATAACTGTACTCGGGAGTTTGTTCCACTCATCCACAACTCTATTACCATCGGTGTTTAACCAAAACTCAGTGTTTCTTAACAGAGCCTTGCTGTTAAAAACGAGTTCAATTGACCCAGAATAAGGGCACCCAACAACCACAGGAAAGTTTACGCTTCTCTAATACTACTATGAGTGAGGAAAGGGCACATAGTCTACTTTTTCGTAAGCAAGCGTTGCATATCAAAATATGGTATACATAATCACCACGGACAGGTTGGTAGGTAGACACTGAGGCAAAAGTTAGGCAACTTTTATTTGAAACGTTTCGCCATACACAGTGCTTCTTCAGTCGAATATCAGAAAGTAGGCCAGGAAACAGTAGAGATGTGAAAAGGACAGATTAATCAGTCCAATCACCATTAAAGTCGAGAATTTGAGAGTGTCAGTCCTCAGTTGAGAAGGTCAGTTCCATAGTCTGGAAATATCTGAAGATCTAGCGACAGTTGTTGAGACTTAATACTTGTCGGAAGGATGAAGGTGCAGAGTTGTAGTAGTAGTAGAATGGAACCACTGAGAGGTCACGTCCTCAGATTAAACAATTCTCACTGAAAAGTTGTCCAAGGTGGTTTTCTGTACCAAGATGCCATTCTGTTGCATGTGTCTGGGACAGGAGTGAAATAGCAAAATGGTATACAATTACCGACAGGTTTGTAGTAAGACACAAGGCAAACAGTTAGGCAGCTTTATTCCGAACCGTTTCGCCCTACACGTAGGCATTCTTCAGTCGAATACAGGAAAGTATGCAGGAACAGTAGAGGAAATAGACAAAGTGCTCCACCAACTCTTACTAAAGCTAGATAAAGTCACAAATGCAAGTCATTATTTTTCCTAAGTATAAGGGAGGAAGGTTAGAGAATCACTCACTCTGTCAGTCAATCTGGGGTTATATTCAGGGGGGAAAAGAATATAGAAATAACATCACTCAGAGTCATTGTAAGGGAGGGAGCGATAAGTGAATGTCACTATTTCCCTAGTAGGCTTCGTGGTAGGGGAAAGAGAAAGAGAGAGAATCTCGCCCATCACCTCACAGATGTACTGCTGGAGGGTAAGGGGAGCACAAACGTAACTTACCTTTTCTAATAAAAAAAAATTTACACTACTGTAGTTTTCTTCTCAATGCAGTTAAATACTGTCTTTATTGACAACGACTTAAAGGACGCCTGTGTTATTTCACCGAAAGCTCCTAATACCATATAAATTTAATTAAGAGGACGCAAGACTCATCGCCAGTGAAGGAAGATTTCAGAGACGCAGGATGATGGAAATCATCACTCAGTGTGTTTTATCCAACAATTTCAACCAGAAACAGTTCTGTAACATAACTGAAATTCTTGCTAGGAAAAATTTTCTTCGTTATCCACATAACAACGGGTCATAGCTCGAGGAACAATTGCAGCAGGCTAATGGCCCATGCTAGGGAGATACTTCTCAGATGCAACCTCTTTCCCAGCCATCAACCTCTTCCTCAGCCCTAACTCACATATCCCCACTATGCTCCTTGTACACATACCCACATTCTCTCTCCCATCGTAGATCTGTTTGTGACTTAATAAAGCTTCCTTTGTGGGTGAAACATGTCAATAAAAGATCGGCATTATACTTCATTTGTGTCTCTTTTTTCCATCCATATAAAAGTGTTGAGTCCAGTGTCTCTCATACAATTCTCTCATTGACATCCTTTAATTAACTTTTTTTCCATAGCTTCATCATAAACAAAACTCATTTTTTCACTTGTTTGGACTTTTAATTCACATCTATTTAAACGCACTTCTGTCTTCCTTTTCCTCACGTCTTCTATACTTTCTTTTCGTGCACAGTAACAATTCCCAAGACTGTTGTACCTGGCTGTAACTTAAGTCAAAAGACAAGGTGCAAACCCCAAGCAACCAAAGGGTAGTTTTTTAATAAGTATATCCCGTCACTAGTATTTACAGGAGCTTAAAAAATCAAGCAGTAGAAACAAAAGAAAACCTGAGAGCAAAGAGCGGACAAACTAAAAGAGATAATGAATGTGTATGATTCCCTAACAGAGTAGAGTCTGCCAGCTAATTAAGTTCACTCTTGTCTTTTATGCAACAATGTGACAGATTTTTCGGCTTGTTTATACTGCGGACTAACCCTGGGACAACTCAGACACAGATTACATAAACAGGATTATTTCCTCCAGGTAAACATTTTTGCTTACAAACTTAACAGGCGATATTATCAACTGTAAAATTAAAATATAACTGGGCACATTGTCACCATTACTGACCATATTGAATTAGATTATTAAAATGAATTAAAGTCATTAGCACTGATGGTGCTATTGTTACTTTATTCATTTTTAAACTATGACATGATAAACAATATTACGATTTCTTTACTAAGGTTGACTCTTCCACTGTACAGGTTACTGTATGTTGCAGAACTTGAAGTTGATGATACTGACATTCTTCAGGAAGCAATATCTCATTTTTTAAGGAATACTGGAGTATACCTGAGATCAACGTCCGAGGTCCGGTCTGGAGACCTGGCCTCGTGGTGTATCAGAGCCTGGATCAACCAGATTGCTATTCCTGACTACACGCAAAGTGACGTCCACCCCCAACCCACCTCCTATTTCCCCCCCAACCGAGTCACAGCGGTGGTCAGGGTGCTGAACTTTAGGTACGAATGTCCAGCGCCTTCTTGAAGACAGCCAGGGGTCTATTGGGCCCCTAACACTTATTGTGTTGTCTCTCAGTGTACTCGTGGCGCCCCTGCTTTTAATTCTGGGAATGTTGCATCTCCTGCAGATTCTTTTGCTTTCACACGGAGTGATTTTCGTGTTCATGCTTGTTACTAATCTCTCTAGGATTTTCCAAGTCTATATTATCATGTATCTCTCTCACCTGCATTCCAGGGAATACAAATCTAGGGACTTCAACCGTTCCCAGCAATTTCGCCAGCCTTTGAAAGGGGTAGATATGTGTCAGCAAGTAATGCTAGTCTGAAGAACAAGCGATTTGAAGAGAATCATCATGGGCTTGGCGTCCCTAGTTTTGAAGGTTCTCATTATCCATCCTATCGTTTTTCTAGCAGATGCGGGAGATACATTATTGTGGTCTTTGAAGGTGAGATCCTCTGACATTATCACTCCCAGGTCCTTCACATTACTTTTTCGCTCTCCTGTATGGTTAGAATTTGTAGAATAACTTAATACAGTTTTATTCTTGTACAGATCATTAATAATGCTAATTAACAGAGTTTCCAGTTATCACATAGAAACCAGTAATCCAATTCTACCGAAAATTATATATATTTTTTCTGATATAAATGTATCACCCTTTAAACATTGAAACAGGTCTGCGATAGCACTACAAGAAAACAATTATTGGTCGATAAAATATATGTTTTCCCTAGACCAGATGGATCAGCCTTAAACTTATGCAATAGTTGAGAAGACACGGTTTTGTAACGAACGAAATTAGCAGATAAAATAAATCACCACGGGAAATATGGTGATTTTGTGATGCTTAACTGGGAACTTGGCACCACCAAGCCAACCTTCCACTAATATAATACATCGACACTGAAGATATAAGCAGATTAAATAAGGTGTTATGAGGTTATTACACGGAAATACTGAAACAATTTTTAACTTGGGTCTGTCTTACAGGATGTTTTGTTAGCTACGAGATCTGAAGATGGTATTCCCTTGTATCCCACAAGCTATGTCCATGCAGTTCAACCTACGCTAGAGAAAAAAGACAGTGCAAGGTATGAATCGGTTTCAGTGGCAGTAGGAATAGAAAAATAGCGAGAGGAATTCTAGCACTAAATAAAAAAAAAAAAAAAAAGGCACAATACCGTGACTGGAACGATACACAAATAACCCGCACATAAATGAGAGAAGCTTACGACGACGTTTCGGTCCGGCTTGGACCATTGACAAAGTCACACTAACCAGAAGTGGAGCAGGACGGCTATATATAGGCAGGAAGAGGTGGTGGTAGTGGTAGTAATAGTAGTACAAGAATGGTATATAATACCGACAAGATGAAATTAAGACATGCGCAACACCCGGGCATCCCTATCGTAGACGTTTCGCCTCCAGCACAGCCACGGATGGCGAAACGTCCACAACAAA